CAATGCTTTCAACGAGGGAAACCCTTCAAATTCACGTCTTCTCCACTCCGTCTACTATGCCCAACTTCTCCTCTGCTCTCACGATTCCCAATTTCAAGCGCTGCTGCCTGCTACGAAGTCTTGATCCAGAAGCAACTAGTCTCGTTGAACGCTTCCAGTAAGCCGGCACGACATCCACTTTATCTGCGTCCTTATAAGCCACTGCTTCTCCGGCGTATTTGCGTTCTATTCGTTTATTTTTTTACTGAATATTTTTTTTATGAAAACAAAATCTCCAGTTTCATTAGAAACTAAGAAACAACCATTGGTCTTTGGATTTCCATGTTAACTTATCATCATTTTCTTTCAATTCTCTATTTTGGGGCTTTCCCATAACTATGCTTTACAGGTTTGGAAGTACTTCTACCGAGTTATCCATCTCAAGAAACAATCCAATGAGTCAAGGGCAGAAAAAGTTGTGGGTAGGGTTTCATTGCAAGGTTTTTGCGAATTTAGTTGAGTAAGCGAAGGCGACATGGAAATCAACAATTGACAATTCTCTCCAAGTAGAGCTTAAGCAAGAGAAGAAGAGAATGGTTGCTTTTAGAAATATGTCACAAGGTTTCCAATTGATCTGAAGAGAATCTAGATAGTTTTTTTTTATACAAACCCGCATTTTCTATAGTTTGCTTATTCGGATTATCCTAGTCGATTTGTTATTTTATGACTTTTCGAGAATTATTGGGGTGATTTGGTGTGGAGATATTTAATAAGTCGGGCAGCAGTAGGGAATTATCCATTTTTTATATAAACTACTTGTACGTGAAATTAGACCACTAAGCAAGATTAAACGCTAAAAGTATTCTCTAATCCTCCCTCTCTCTCTTCCTCCCTGTCGAGTTCCCCTTCTCCTTCTCAACTGCTGCTGCGACAGTCCTCCTCCTTCCTTCCCCTCTCAATTTTCAATTTCCCTCTTCCCATCCCAATTTCCTCAAGAATAGCTAATCACCGCCTTGGTTATTCGCTTGTTTTCTCCAAATCCCTAGAAACCCATAGAACCTAATTCTAGGTTTCTATCATCTGGTATCAGAGCCCCATTCTGATCCAAGCAAATCATCAAGGAACAGAGATCACGATGACGGTAACAAAGTCTCAGAAGGCTGCGGAGAAGGCCGCGGAGGAGGCAGCCCGGAAAAGGCAACCACGACAACCTCGGTGACGAGGCCGGGCCGGCGGCGGCCGCTCCAGTGCTGGAAAGGAACCTGCCGAACCCAACGACTCGGGTACTGGAGACGGTCAGGGTGGTGGACGAGACCGGGCTGGAAGAACTCCAAATTGCGGTGGGCGAACTCCAGGTTGCTATGAAGAGACTGATGGCAGATCGAGAGCTGGCGGAGGAGAGACGTCAAGAAGATATGGATGAAATTCGGCGAGCTCTAAGCAAACTGGCACGAGACGCAGAGGTGAGGCAAGTGAGGCAAGGAAAACCGCCGAGAGCCGAGACCACCATGGGGCTCGAGCGTGAGGTTGGGGAAGGGCCAACCGCGGCTACGGCAAGCCAGGCGATGCCGGCAGGAGCCGCGAAGGTGGCAGCGGTGGCAATGACGGCCGCAGGAGCAGGCGGGTTGGCGGCCTCAGCGATCGGGCTAGGGCAGGAGACAGGGCGTGCAGGCCATGTTCACTTTGGGCCCAACGGTGAGGCGGGCCTGCTTCCGACATCGACGACCCAAGAGATGCCGGCACGATGTGGCAAGACCAAAATGTCGGGCTATGATAATGTGGGCCCACTAAACCTTGAAGAAGAGGGGAGTCGGGCATGGGTACCCAATGGGCTAGGATGGTTGGGCCCAGAACCAACCCAAGAAGAGAATGAGCTGAGCCTGGCGGGCCCAGAAAAGTGGGTCGAACCCAACCGAAGGGTAGCCGGGTTGGACCAGAGGTGGGCGGCTGAAAATGTCGGGTTCGGGCCGAACCAAACTGACAGATCGGGTTGGACTAAAACCGGACCAACCGTTTGGACCAAAACCAGTCTAACCTTTTGGACAAACCCGGGTCGAACCAGAATTGAACCGACTAGGGACGACCAGAAGCAAGATGGACCGAACCGTGGGGTTCATGTGGGCGGGCGCGGATCGTGTAGTGAGGCATGGGGCTTCCAACCACCTCGCATGGGCCCAGACGGACCGGGACGAGTGACCCAGGATTCGAGGAGCTGGTATATATGCAAGGCAGCCTCGAGACGAGGAGGGAGCGGATTACATGAACAGAGGTCCAAGAAATTCACACAGTGGATGGTATGTTGGGTATGACCGCTTTAATGAAATGGATGGTGACTTAGTTTTCAGAGCTAAGCCTCCTACCATTGAGTTTCCGAAATTCAATGGGCAAAAGGATGCAGGGTTGTGGTTGTATGAAGCTGACAGGTGGTTTAAGCACCACCCGACTCGGGAGGAGAGGAAGGCGCATCTGGCATCTTTCTACCTGGAAGGTGACGCTCTGCACTGGTGGGACTCTGATCACGTGGCCGATGTTCCAGCCTTCCAGGAGGAACTCCATTATCAATTCGGCAAATCATAGGGATGGGCCCCTGAGCAGTTAGCTAAGTTAAGACAAACCGGAACAGTGGTGGAGTATCGGTCGGAATTTCTCAAGCTGGGAAATCAGTGCAAAGGGGTGCCGGAAGAAACATTGGTGGGATTATGTCTAGCTGGTCTAAAGCCAGAGATAGCGGTAGCTGTCCGGGTGTTTGAACCCGAATCGGTAAGAACTAATTTCCGTTATGCAGGTCACAAAGAGGAAGAACTTGCCAGCTAGAGAAGTGTCATCGGCCGCTACCAGAGGCCGAGCGGAGGAGGAAGCAGTAGTTCCGCAAGCAGCGGGGGAGGAAGCGCGGCCGCGGGGGCGGGAACCGGAGCTGCAGGAGGGAATACACCGCCACCAGCGACGACAGGACCAAGACCTGGCCCTCGCGCTCGCGCTTCACCCAAAGGCTTCGTCAGGCTGTCACCCGCCGAGATCGAGCAGAAGCGTCGGGAGGGCAAGTGCTTCAACTGCAATGAGCGGTCCAGCGTCAGTCACCAGTGCGCGAGGCCAGATGTGATGATGCTTGTGGGACGTTGGGAAGAAGAAGCAGAGGAGGAGGCGATGGATGCCTTGGGAGAGAAGCAGTAAGCTCGAGTCAACCTTGAGGTCAAGGTTGTTTCCAAGGAGGCGGGGATGATAGAAACCCGCATTTTCTATAGTTTGCTTATTCGGATTATCCTTGTCAGTTTGTTATTTTATGACTTTTCGAGAATTATTGGGGTGATTTGATATTTAATAAGTCGGGTAGCAGTAGGGAATTATCCATTTTTAATATAAACTACTTGTACGTGGAATTAGACCACTAAGCAAGATTAAACCCTAAAAGTATTCTCTAATCCTCCCTCTCTCTCTTCCTCCCTGCAGAGTTCCCCTTCTCCTTCTCAACTGCTGTTGCGGCAACCCTCTTCCTTCCTTTCCCTCTCAATTTCCAATTTCCCTCTTCCCATCCCAATTTCCTCAAGAAGAGCTAATCACCACCTTGGTGATTCGCCTCTTTTCTCCAAATCCCTAGAAACCGATAGAACCTAATTCTAGGTTTCTATCATTTTTGTACCATTTAGTTCATATTGTTAGAGAGATTGAATATCCGTCAAGATATGTATCTTTTATTTTCATAAATATACCTCACTCTCAGAATTCCACGAAGCAGTCATGATCAGTTTGCTCATAAATATTCGATGCTTAAATATGATTATTTTTGTCACAGAAAAATATCAACACTATTATATACTATTTCATACAACGCATAGTTGCTATTGATATTGTCGTCTGTGATAAAATTAGTAGTAACAAAATGTTCTTTCGTGACAAAGATCCCATAACTTAAGGTATGCTGTGATTGACAAAAAAATTAACCAATGTTGTAGTAGGAACAATAAATTTGTCACAATAAATTTGAATATGTGACAGTCACATTGTCATGAAAACCTCCTTCTATAAAAAAAGACCTGTCAGAAGTGTGACTCGTTTGTGACAAGTTAAACCGATGATAGTTAAAATACATTTGGTGATGGGAATAACTCATCACAAATTTATAGTGTTTGTTACAAGCGAAAGTTGTCACGATTGAATACATTTTATGTGATGAAAAAACTCATCATGTGTTGCCTAAAATGGTGTTGCATATAGAGTATACATATGCAACACATACATTTGTTGTTGCAAAAGGTAAAAAAATTGTTACATATTACTTTATACAACACCACCTATAGGGGCACTACTAAAAGTGTTGCATATTGTATATGCAACACTTTAGCCACTTTTTACAACACATTTGAAGTGTTCCCGAAATCCACTTTTTCCATAGTGTAATTTTTCTTTACTCTTTTGGTTCCACCTTATCGCTTAACTATGTTACTTTAATTTAAAGAAAATTTCTTTGTTTTTCACAATTATTTTATAATGTTGACTTTTTGCTTTTCACATGTATTGCTACCGGTGGGACAACTATCAACAGCGTGCAAAGTAAGTCTTTTATGTAGATTTGTTTCTTTTCCGGTTTTTGTATGCTTCGAGTTTTTACTCGTATGTTCCTACTAAACTAATCACGCGTGTTCTCTTTGGGTTTTCGGGTTTGCACAAGACAAGGATAAGGGAGGATTTGTTGCCGGTGTAGCTTTCCAAAGGCATCAGAGGTGACAAGGGTTGACCACTACTATCTAGGTAAGCTTTTTTTTTTGTTTTTTGGGTTTTGGTTATGTTTATATTCTGAAACCGGTCTTTCTATGATATGGTTATGATATGTTTTTGGAAAAATACTCTTGTATAGCCAAAACTTTCGCGTTTTTGCCAATAATAGCCAAATTTGAAGAAATACCACTTATAGCCACTTCCGTCCAATACTTTAACGGTGTCATCTAACAGGCTGACTGGACTAACGGAAATTCTGATTTGGCGAAGTTTCATCACCAACAATGCCACGTAGATTATTAAAAAATAAATATAAATAAAATTTAATGAAAATAAAAAATAAATTAATGAACACAAAAATAATTAAAAGGAAACCAATTTAATAAAAAGACTCCCAATCCCTAGACCTAACCTCTCCGTCGTCCCCATCGTCTTCCAAAACCTACCCAGACTCCCCAATCCCTTCGCCTACCCAGACTCTTCTTCTCTCTTTCAAATTCCTTCACCTACCCTCTCCGCCAGACCCTTCTTCTCACCCACTAAGCATGGCGCCACCCATAAATAAATCCCCACCCCTAAATAAATCCCCACCAAAAACTCTCCACCTCGCCATTGCTCTCTATGTCGACGAGACTCGAAGACCCATCGGAGGATTCCTGGCGCCGCGCGTCTCCCCTGCTATGCCGGGATTGAAGAAGATGCAAGAGGTGGAGAGGTTGAAGAATCCATGGAGGCACTGGAAAAGTGCAATTAACGCTGGGCGCCGAACGAGTAGACACAGTTTCACCGCCGCAGATTGCTTCACGGCCAACAAACGCAGATCTTGACTATCTGCTCTCCCAGCTTCTCCTTTGTTTTCTTCCGGGTTGCTCATCGTCGAATCTCGTCGATTTGGGTCAAATCTCAGCATCCAGAAGGAAGGATTTGGCCATAATAAGAATTCGTCTCATCTCGAATTGGGGCAAGCGCATCACCCGGGACGAGGAATGATGGCTGGTTTCTGATAAACTCATTTCGGGACCAGATCTAAAATGGTGGATGTGAGCAGATCGGCGAGAGAGAGAGCAATGTTTATGTATCCTATATTTTATCTTTTATTTTCAATTAGTGGGAAGTAAAATGAAGGAGAACGGTTGGAGAAATATGACGGTGGGGAAAATAAATTTATTTTTTATTAATTGATGATGTGTAAATATTAAATAATTTTAATATATGATGTGTCACTTTTGGCTTATTTGGCGCCGACATGTCCGTTAAGTTGGTGTCTAGTCAGCAAACTGCCAAAGAAGTTGACGGTGTTATTAACAACGTTAAAGTATCTAACGGAAATGACTATATTTTTCCTACAAGAAGTTTAAAAGCTGGCTATAAGTGGTATTTCTTCAAATTTGGCTATTATTGGCACAAGCTCGAAAGTTTGGCTATACAAGTGTATTTTGAAATTTTGCTTTCACCCAGACCTAGGGCAAGAGGAAGAAGTCGTCATCGCTGATGGGGAAAGTGAACCCATTCCAAACTGCATCCCAACAGCAGACTCCAAGAGGAAATACGAGGGATCAGCAGAGAGAAGAAAGGTTGACTAGGGGATCGACCGGTACATGTAATCCATTCTTCTATCCTCTTTAGTTTCCAATTTGTGGGCAATTAGGTTTATGGTCAATTTTATGAGTGGCTCCTGAGTAAACGTAGTGTGGTACTGCTGTTCCTAATTACTCCTGCCCTAAAAGATAAGTTTCCAATCGACACTCGGGAATCCAACCATAATGAAGAGTTTCAGTCGACGTCATTTTTATTTACCACTTGACTATTACAAAAAAAATTCTGCATTTTATTTGTGTGCTTGCATATTGGAGTGTTGCACGACAAGTTAGGGGTAACGTAGTGAGAATCGTGTTTGTTCCCCATATGTATTGTTGTATTCTCCTGAATCTTATGCATTTTGCGGGGGATATCACTACTTGAAAGCTTGTTGCATACTGTTTTTGCATCTCCAGTAGGCTGAGCTGTGTATTTGTGAGTTCTTAAATGACAAAGTCTTTGGAATATCACATGGAGAAATGTGTTGGGGATTGATTGTTTCGTTACATGCATATAGTCATATAACTAGGGTGATGCAAATGTGGGGAAATTAGCATAGTGCATTTCATAAAAGTACTCATCGATGCCCAACATTGATGTTGCTGGTTTTGTCTAGAAATTACAGATTGTGTCTGCTTTAAATTGTACACCTAACCTAACTTGAGCACTATTGTCATCAGTCAAAGTTGCTCCCTTGATTTTTAGTTTATGTTCCGTGTTTGATTGCCTACACTTGCTATATGTCCTAGTATTATTTCTTGATGTTGTCATTTGTGCCCACAGATCGTCATTTGACCATGGTCTCCTTTTCACTGGCCATCACTCACTTGGTAAGATTTTACCATTTTATGTAAACTCATTTGCAAGACTGTTGTTTGAGCTCCAATCCAACACCTTTCGAGTTTTTTTTCATTGTGAGCTCTGGCGGTTATATAAGCTCCGATCCAACACCTACTGTTATATTACTCTCATGGATTTGCACAATTTTTGAAAACCTTTTAGAACTCTGTAAGATAAAGTCAACCAAAAGAAACCTTTCCGTCGTTAATATGTTTGATCGTACTATTTTTTCCCGTTCAGAAAAATTGCTATATGTAGTACGACACATATTACAAACTGTCGCCTGTCGCGGAGCGCGGGCTTTCCTTACTAGTAATTCGTAATTGGTATTCAGGGAAAGAACGTTAATTCCACTCTCATCCGACCCGACCCATGGATGGGTTTGTATCATCCCTTCCCTCTTCAAGAAGCTCAGAGCAAATTCGTCCTATTTTTAGTTCCGATTTCTCTTACCCTTTCTGTTTTTTCACCAAAAAATTTCACTCATTTTTTATGATACTCGGCCTAAAATCATGATCCACTATTTTCGGGCCGAATTCGGTAGCATTGGCCTCCAACTCCACTGACCACGAAAACCTTTTCCCTCCTGACTGTAACATACTGAAACACTTCATTTCCTTGTCTTATAACCAGTCCCCATCTCGTACCTCCCGGCTCCGTCCTTCAAAATTGTTGCATTGCATCTACTACAGACTAATTCATCTATAATAACTAACGCTTTAACTTTTCTAGCGGCACGTGATCGTTTGGAGAAGTTATTGCAATGAATTGATTTATTTAATCGGAAATACTTTGTCCGACAAAAAAATAATACTAAAAATATATATTTTATCCAATCATTTCAATCTGCTTACATTTGAGTTATTTCAAATAACTATTAATTATTTGAAATAATTCAAAAATATCATAATTAAGTTAACGAATAATTTTACTCTAAAATAATAGGTGTGCAAAATAATACATCAAAACGACTCTCTTGATTTAGAAATGAGACAATTCATCCACCCATTGCATGTGAGCAAGCATTCTACAGTTTGCTAGTTCCACAGTTTTTGTCACCCCATCTCTATCAGTTTTTTTTCTCTCTAGCGATTAACCACCGTACGTGATTGTGACGACAGGTGAATTCGAGAGGGAAAAAAAGCTAATCGATCGAAGAAGCAAAACGAAGCCACATTTTTTTTTTAATTAATACGTGGCTTCTCTTACCTTCTTAAACTGATCAACCACCACCGACAACACCGCGTCCACCGCCTCGTCGCTCTCCACCACCACCACATTCCCCGACACATTCGTCGCCGCATGAACCGGCAACCTCCCTCCCCTTCCCCTTCCCTTCACATAAAAGGAGTAGTGAAAGTGATCAATCTTGTCCGGAAACACCAACTGATCATTGAAATCCGCCACCCACTTGGTCCCATTCCCCGCCACCGTCAGCCTCCCGACCGTCGACCTCACCGGCATCGCCTTATTCGCCTGATTCCCATCCACCACCACCTGATCCACCACCTTGAACTCTCCCTCCACCTCCACAATCGCACGCTTAAACCCATGGAAAAAATTGTCCCTCACCGTCAACCCCGCCATCCTTCCGTAAACCGACTTCAGCACCACATTCCCGTCCCCTAAGAACATCGAGTTGGTCAAATGGATAAAATACGGGTCCTCGATGACGATCGAGGTATAGTCCATGTAACTATTGTCGATCCGATTAAACGCCGCGCTTTCTTTGACGTAGATTCCCGTGCCGCGGTACTTGACGCCCTTGTTGTACACGTGGAGGCCGCTGACCATGTTGGCCTGTCCTCGAAGAAGGAGCCCCGTTTGGGAGCTGAAGAGGACGGTGTCGGTGACGGAGTTGTCGTTGCTGGCGAGGTCGATGGCCGTGCCGAAGAAATCCGCCTCATGCTCGTCGTCGCCCACCGTGGATTTCTGGCCGAGGAAGCAGGAGGAGATGTACGTCTCGTGCCCGCCCTGGACGAGGATGCCCTGGGTGGTGAAGTTGAGGAAGTAGGAGTTGATGATGCGGGTGCGGAGGGAGTTCACGACCAGGAGCCCGCCGCCGCGTCGGGCGGAGTCGAAGAGGATGTCACGGAAGGTGACGTCCTCGTAGTAAATCCGCCGGCCGTGGAGCCGGTGGACCGACTCGGTTTTGTAGATGAGGATCTCGGATTCCGGGGACATCAGCTCCACTAGGTAGCGGTTCGGAGGAAAGTCTTGGCTCGCTCTCAGACTCCCCTCTTTCATCTGGTAAAATTAAATGAGAATAAATAAATGTCAGTTTGTTTGCGTGTGAATAATCGTTACCGTTTAAGTGAATCATCATTACTACTACCACGTGAATAAATATCAATATAACGTGAATAAGTAGAAATTCATGTGAATAAACAAAAATATGCGTGTGTATTGTTGTCACGCTTGAGGTGCTCATTAGTGCCAATCCATGAGACTACAAGAAAAATGCACCTTTAGCGACGAAAATATTAGTCGCAAAAAGTATATAAGTCAGTCGCGAAAACGAATACCGGCCGCGTCGCCATATCATTAGGAGACGAAATTCAGTTATTCGTCGCGAAAGAGTTCGCCCGTCGCCACAAAGTTGGGCGACGGTACAATCGTCGGCGGCGTTTTTAGGGATAGAAATTGTGAAGTTACCATGATGTTGCCGGCCGTCGGCGGGAAAGTAATGGGTTTGGAGATCAAGTAACTTCCACCCTGGAGATCGATGACGGCGCCACCCAAGTCCTTCATGGGACTCATCAAGTAACGCTTCTCTTCGCCACGTTGCGAGAAAGCGTCGTTGAGGGCCTTTTGTATCGCATCGGAGCTGTCGTTGTGGCCCGTCGGATCGGCCCCGTAACCGATCGGGTAATATACTCCGCCGACCTGCAGCATTGCTTAATTTTGTGCACGTAATTATCACGACGCGCGATGTTTTTATTATTTGTGTGTTAGTTGAGTAATTAATTAAGTGCTATATGTCACCTTGGGCGGTGGTCGTACGGAGGGCGGAGCTTGGTACCGGGCGGCTATTTCGTCAACCTCCGCCACTATGTCTTCTATTAAGCCTCCTAGCTTGGTGTTGTCGAAACACGATGCTTGCCGGAGATGCAAGATCGCCGATGTTAATACGATTAGGATGGATAGCGAAGTCGTCGTTATCCTCGTCATGTTGTTGTTATTAATTCTTGATTTGAATGAGCTTAATTAACCCACTAAGCTCCTTTTATTTTACTTCCATAGTTTGTATGGTAACTGGCTAACGTTACTTTACGCATCGACATTGGCATTGAATGTGTCCGTTAATTAACCCCCTAAGTTCATAATAAACATTCATCAATCAATGAGCATATGTTATAGCGAGACTGCAGTTTAGTCTATGGATGACAGTGTATTAACAACGGTTTTTTTTTTATACGCTAATGAAGGGCCGGGTTTGCGGAAAAGTGGCAGTCCTTTTGGTATTTGATCTGGACAAGTGTACGTACCTTCAGGTTGGAATTAATCGTTTTATTTGTTGAAATTTCTAATTATTTTGTTTGTTAAAAGAAGTTATTATATGCAGGACGTTTATAACTAGTATCTATCGTGTTGATGAATGTTATCCAATACGAGCTTCAATTGTTTATCTTGCTGTAACTGGTATTTACCGCACAATCCCCTTTTTATAGTCAAGGGCTAATTACAGATCACACCCCAGCTAATAACATTTTTCTACAAACCAATCCTAATCGTTACACAAGCCAAAGAAGGCTCCCAGAAAAGTTAAAGTGTTTGTTTAAACTTTCTATGGCATAGATGAGGTAGGAAAGGCAACGGTAGCATGGGGCGGACTTGCTAAGCCAAAAAGGGACCGGATCAAGTCAATAACTCACCCATCAGTAATTATCAGTAATCCAATCATTTGTCACAATGTGTCAGCTTTTTCCTTTTGTTTAAATTAAACACGGAGGGGCACTAAGATAAATTGTACCCCCTATTTAATGCTGACGCGCTGACGCTGGCTTTTTGACCATACACGAATCCCACCCTCTCACCCTACACTGGTTCCCTCTCTCTCACTCTTTGTTTTATTATTAAAAGAAAAAATACATTAGTTCTTCTCTCTCCCATATACAACAAAAATGAATCTAACCATTCTAGCTATCTTTGTTCTAATTCCATCTCAAATTGAATGATGATTTTTTCGTTAAATGATTCAGTGCTTTAGACAATAATTACAAGTATAAGTATGATTATCACTTTCTACTATCATGGTAAAACATGGTAAATATGTTGAAGAAAATTACAAATCTAACTATGATATTATACCACATGGTATAACGTGGTAAAACATGGTAAAATATGTTGTAGAAAATTACAAATCTGACTACCATACAATACTACATGGTATAACGTGGTAAAACATGCTACAGAAATTTACAAATCTAATTACCATACCATATGGTATAACTTGCTAAAATAAAATTACAAATCCAACTACCACCACATGGTATAACATGGTAAAACAGGTTACAGAAAATTATAAATATAACTATTATTCAATACCACCATAGTAGAACATGGTTAATCGAATGAACACAAATTAATTGTAATTACCATATAATACCACATGGTATGAGAAGGTAAAACCATAAGAATAATATAAATCTAATTACAACCCTCTGCGATCATTGGAAAACATTATATCCATAAAAAAAACATTTCGTTACCACACTTTACCATATGGTAATGGTATAGTGTGGTAATCTCAATATATATACAATTACGACTCCCTTCACTTTCTTCTCCCACTTCATTGTCTTCTAACTCTTCTTTCTCGGAACTGTTGTCGATTACCACCCACTACCATCATGATAAAACTCGTGACCATAAAAATACATTTAGTGAGCACACATTACCATATGGTATAGTGTGGTAATATCAATATATATTGCCTAAAACAAGGAAGAAAAACAGAATGAGGGAGAGAAGAAAAAAAACTCGTTTCTGTCTCCTCTCACCTTCCACAATCAAGAACACCAAATGCAAAAAAAAAAAAAGGACGAAGATCGGAATTGAAAATTCACAAACAAATACTAAAACATAAAACATGCAAATTTGACTCACATAGATCTGTCCCCTCTTGGTTAATATGGAGCGTCATTTATTTTGAGGTCGAGAAAAGAAAGAACAAAAGGAAGGAGCAGATCGAGAGAAGAAGGATTTGGAGCGTCACCGAATTTGAGAGGGGAGGCTGCAATTTTTTTCCATGTCGATTGGAGGAAAAAAATGAAGAACAAGAGAAGGGAACAGATCTAGATCTGGAAAAAGGTGTTTGGAATAGAAAAAGAAAAGAGAAAGAAGAGAGAAAGAGAGAGAAAGAAATCTTGTTTTTCCTTTTTCCTCAATTAAAAGTGAGCATATAAATGCTAGAAAGAAATAATAAAAAAAGAAAGAAATAAAATTTCAAAAATCGGAAAAAAATGCCCTTCCCCCACCCCGCGTCAACATCAGCCACACAACGCTTCCCCTATCAGATCTACGGTTCTCATTTGAATACTGATGGATGAGTAACCTTTTGGTTACTCACAGTATCCTAAGCCAGCCAAAAAGGAAATGAGGATTAGGGCCGAAGGATTTGATAACCCGAAACAAGTCATGTACAACTAGAATACTCTTGCTTTCTTTTTATTAAGGCTGGAGTGATTTGGGCAGCCTGCGGTTTTAAGTGTAGACAATCAGATCTATGGTCTATGAAGGTGTCTCAAAGTAGTTCATGGACATTGAAGAGACTTGGTTGAGCCATTTATGTGTATTAAGAATGTTCCAATTTGTTGGGATAATGAGGTAATGGTACAATACTTAGTTAAAAGAGTTTGGAACACACTAGACCTAAGTAACTTGGTTCAAGCTTGTCTGGAATAAGGGTTGTCCGGGGAACGGATCAAGTCAGTAACCTTATGGTGAGTAACCATGAGTAACTCGTCCATATCAGATTGACATCAACATCCCTCTCTCTCCTGGAAAGCCTTTAATTTTCCCCTCCTTAATCTTTGACAGATGATTTCTCACGCGTTTTAAGTCGAAATTTAATTTTTTGTGCACAGTTAGATCAGAATAATTGTGCTCTTCAAAATGATTTCAACTTTGATATATTTTTCGAACAAAAAAAATTGAGCCATTTTTTACCAGTCTATACCATATGGTATTGACTGGTATGAAATAAGAGCATACCTATGGTTTGAAAAGCGTATCATGGTGGTATGAACAAACCAAGACTGTAGGATGGTTGAATACATGATACTAGAAGTATATTAACTGTCATTTACGACTTTTAACATTGTGTACCACTAGATACCACCCCGTACCAGGGTGGTATTGTGTGGTATTTTTTGGTCTTATAATTTGTTCACCCAAAAATTTGTAGATCCAATAGATCATGATGAACTCGTCCCTTCTGTGAAAACGTTTTCAAAAACGAAGAAAATACCATATGGTATGCAGTTGGTACCGAGAGGCAAGCATTTTTTTTTCTCAAAAAAATATTGAAAATATATCTCATTTTGTAGAGCACAATGAACTCGTTCAATCTGTGCAAAAAAAAATTTAAAATCCGATTTAAAACGAAGAAGATATGAGCCGATTAAGAAAGAGGGAAAATAAAAATGGTCTTTAATTCTCCACCCTTAGATCTGGATTTTCTAAATGAATGGTCCAAATTTGGCTATTGATGGGTGCATAACCCATGGCTATGCACCCTATCTTGAGCCGGTTGTCCGCCTCGATTTATTTTCATAGCGGGGATGATTGTTTTTTTAAGTAAACTAGCAAAAGCCAGCTTGCTATCACTTCGTGTATTAGAAAAATAAATATTTTAAAGAGTAATAGTTTTACTGTTGACCCAAAAGTGAAAATAATCTTATTTCATTCTTAATCATTATTTTCATAGGTTTTTTATTTACAATAACATATGGTCGATGATTTTGCATAAGGTAGAAGGGTCATCGAATGGATTATTTATGTTTTAACTTCTTTCATGACGCTTCAATTTGTATAATTAGTAATTGATCCTGCTATAATTTTTGCAGAATGGAGCAGCTTTTCTTGATCTTTTCAAGAAGTATTTAAAAAAAAATTAAGTGTTTAGTTTAAAAACTATCAGAATTACTTTCTAATATAAGAGCTAATGGAAAATAACTATAAAGATCTCTAGCAAATACAAATTCTAAAAATAAAAAAGTATTTAAAATGGATCACGTTAGATTTATTTCATATTTATTTATTTATAATGATACAAATGAAAGAAAATTATGTTTTCTAGAAAAAAGAATAATATATGGTAAGGACAATTTTGTATTTTCAAATCGGAGCTTCTTTGCTATTAAGTTACGAAAAACTTCGGTTTTTTAAAAATGCGGAACTTTAGAGGTGTTCGGCTTGGTTCAACTTTTGAAACATAAAACTTCTAAAATTCGGGCCAAACATAATCTACTCTTTTGACTTTTTTATTGTTTGATGCAGTCGCAATTCTCTTTTACGAAAATTTTGGACTGATTGCAGGTTTGAGCAGGTTCAATTCGCATTGATCGGGTCAAATTAGGTAAGATACTCATGGATTTGGATTCTATTGTCTTTCTCAAACAAAAGGAAAAGCAAAATGAAAAACACTAAAGCTAAAACTCGCTACTAACTCAAAACTCGTCAACACCAAGTTCAACTCGCTTTGACCTGTTTAGACCAAGTTTTGAATAAATTCACACCTGACACAACACGCCAATTACAAAAACAGATAAAAATCGCTCCCGACGAAAACCTGTAAAATCTGGTTCAAGTCGCTTTGATCGGGTCGAATTAGGTTGTATGCTCATGCGTTTGGACTCAATTGTCATTCTCAACCAAAAGGAAAAAGATAAAAAAAAAACTAAAGTGGATAAAACTCGCTCATGACCGCAAACTCGCTTTGACCGGGTCGTTCTAGTTTTAACAAATTCACAATTTACCCAATCTATCAATTACAAAAACAGATAAAACTCGCTCTTGATACGGAACGCGCCAACAATTGGTCAGAGGTCAATTGTCATTCTGAACGAAAAGGAAAATGAGAAATAAAAAAACATTAAAGCATACAAAACTTGCTTCCGATCTAAAACTGGTCAACAATGTGTTCCACTCACTTTGAACAATTTTTAAACAAAATAACACTTGGTCCAACCTGCCAACTACAAAAGCGGATAAAGCTCGCTCACAATATAACACTCGTCAAAACCTTAGATCCGGGTCAATTGTCTTCCCAATCAAAAGAAGAAAAAAGAGAAATTTATAAATGCTAAAGTTTGTTTCAAATCGCTTTGACCGGATCGAATTAGATTGGATACCCATGGATTTGGATTCAATTGTGATCATGCTCAACAAAAAGGAAAAAGTAAAAGAGAATACCACTAAAGCGAACGAAACTCTATCCCGATACAAAACTCGCCAACATTGAGTAGATATAGTATGGATTTTCGGTAGCAACATTGGGTTCAATTGTGATCATGCTCAACAAAAAGGAAAAAGAGAAAAAAAAACAATAAAGAGGATGAAACTCGGTCTCGATACAAAACTCATGGTAGCGGCCTTGGGAAACGATGGTGGGAAACAATTTAGAATTTCACCGACACTATTTCGAGATGGGCAGGAAAATGGTGGACAAATGCGATGATTTTTGTTCAAGTTAGTATACCCATGTGTTTGGGTTCAATTGTGATCATGGTCAACAAAAAGAAAAAAAGAAAGAAAAAACACTAAAGATGATGAAACTCGGTCCAGATACAAAACTCGTGGTAGCGGTCTTGGGAAACGATGGTGGGGAACAACTTAGATTCCACCGACAGTATTTCGAGAGGAGTTGCAAAAGGCGATGATTTATGTTCAAGATAGGATATCCATGTGTTTGGGTTACTCAACAAAAAGAAAGGAAAAAAACACTAAAAAGGATGAAACTCGGTCCCGATAAAAAACTCGTGGTAGCGGCCTTGGAAAACGATGGTGGGGAACAACTTAGGATCTGGTGGGCAAAGGTGATGATTTGTGCAAAAAGCCATAGACAAAAACCTAGCGAACAATAACTAAACACAAAGGCGATGATCCGTGCAAAAATTCATAAATGAACACCTAACGAACAATAACAAAACACAAATGCAATGATTTGTGCAAAAAGTCATAGACAAAACCTAGCGAACAATAACTAAACACAAATGTTGTAGAATGGAGAGTGGGGTAAAAGAAGGAGTTGGAACTTCCCTACTTGCACTTGGAGGAGTGTGAGAGCCACTAATGAATAGTAACTCAAACCTAGGCTTTTATATATCAACAATAATAATCATGATCCTTAGATGCACCAATCAAAAGCCAGAGAGTTCACAAATCACAAGGACTCGAACAACCCATAGGAAACAAAAACCAAGACGCACAGCCAAAAAAGAACAGCAAAAAACATGTTCAGTTACAACAAACGAGACAGCCATCTTGGTAACAAAGTGTCATTCAAAATCCTTTGAGCAATTGCATCAGCTTCCTTGACATCGTGTCTCCGTCGAAAGACAACGTCAACTTCCTCCAAGCCATCCAGGTATGAACGAATCAAGGCAATTGTTGCAGCGCAGCTCATAGGCCAATCCACAACATCTTTCCTAAGGGCTTCCACCACTAACAAGCAATCTGAAATGATCAGTGTTGAGCGGTGATCACGGGTAGTCAAGCACACCGCCTCGAGAATGGCTGAAGCTTCAACAACTTCAGGTGCACAGCAATGGATTTTCTCATCCCTACCATCATAAATCTTCCCCGATGCATTCTTCACTATGATATCAATGCCCACCTGCTAGATGTCGCTTTTGAAGGCTCCATAACACAAGATTACTCTCTCGTAATTCCTCGGCGAAGGGATAGGGTTCTGATGGTTACCTCTAGGCTGAGAAGGAGGGCTGATTGGGACAGCAACATGACAAGACCTCCATTCTACAAACTCAGGAGAAGCACATACACAAATGGACTGAGGTGAAGGTAATATTGTCAAACGCGAACTCGTTTCTTGCTTTCCACCATTGTAAACAAGACCAATTAATGTTTGAGGTGAAACCGTAAGGCTTAAAGAGAAAATCCAATGAAGAAAAGAAACGCCAGGAGGAGGAAGAGAAATTCCAGGATGAAACAGGTTCCAAGCTGAAGAGGGAACACTACATCTGAAAAGGAGATGATCTGTCGATTTTGGTTCAATATCACAGCTCTTGCAGAATTTTGTCTGGGCACACTTTCGAGAGAAGGGTTCATTCTTGTAGCAAGAGCATTCTTCTCACATTTTCACAGAAAAAATTCCATCTTTGGTGGTATATTGAGGCTCCATATCCACTTCCACATCTTCTCTTGCAAGTGGGGCATTGTGTTTTCAGGAAAAGCAGAAAAGTGCAGATGATGATAGCAGGACTTGACCGAGAAAGCACCCTTCTTGTCATAATTTCAGACTCATCTATCCTTTAAACTTAAGGGACCAATCAGAATCCGTAGAATTGCAGCCAATGTAGTCAAAATCGTGATTTGAAACTTAAAAACTTACGCTTTTACGTTTATAGGTCACCAAAACGCTTCTACGCATAATCTCAGTTTTTATAACTATTGTAGTTAAAACCTGTGCTTTAAAGCTTAAAAACTTGCAGTTTATTTTACTCCTCTAGATCACCAAAACTCTTCTACATATAAACGCGCTTTTGACTACATTGATCGCAACAACCATATTCGGTTGGAAAAGAGAGTGAAGATGACCAGCATTCCATCTATTCTCTGGTCTAAGAATAAAATCAGCAACACGGAAATGAGACAGGCCAATACCTGGTATTTTGAACAAATCAAGATCTGTAATCCAAGCTTCATCCAACCAAGTAGTTTCTCCATAGCCAATATTTCTTCTTAAACCTGTGAGAAGGGCCTCTTTCCCTGCCCAGATACTTGCCCAAATCCAGGAAGCATTTGGCCCCTTCTTCGCGTGAATAAAAGCAATATTTGGATAGTATCGATTTTTAAGAACTTTCACCCACAAACTTTCTGGTGCCATGAGAATCCGCCACGCCATCTTAAAGGAGAGCTCAATTGAAAATCTTGGAATACCGGAAGTCGAGTCCTCCCCAAACCTTTCTTTTTATGATTTGGTCATGTGAAATCCAAGAAAGAGTCTTCTTCTCAACCTGTCCAAACAACCAGTATCTTCCCAATATAGATTTCATCTTGCAGATACTATTACTACCAAGTTTAAATTGATGTAGTGGGGGACATAACTAGTGCAATATGTTTGTTCTGTGTCACAGAGAATGGAACAACTATAGAACATCGATTCTTTCCATTAAATTAGTACTAGATAAGTCCGCTCGCTGAGCTTCGCATGAAGGATAATGTAAAAGGATATATGAATAAACTAATATGTAAGGAATACAAACTCAAAATACAGTAGGCCAAGCTGTATGTGACAAAAAAAAAGTAACATCTGGTTAAATCAAACATGTTAAGAGGCTCCACGAATTGGAACATCTAAGTAGCCGAATACGAATTGAGAAAACGCATCTTGCTATAAATTGAAGCAAACAATAAAAGATGGACTCGTTGGCTAATGAATAGGTATCTATAGGGGAAAATAAAAAAAAAATAAAAACTAGAAAATCATTTTGGCTGTGGGACTTGATTAGAATCTTTGAGACTACATTAGCGTTATTCTCTCGCTCTTCAATCAGTACTATTGTAGCGATATGATTCTCCCACTTTGTGGGTGTACTCGGATCTAGCAAATCACAAAATCAAATACGAACAAAGCGATGAATTTTATCACAATAAAAATACAAAATGATATTCCTAATTATTTTGAGTCAAAATTGAGAATGAGAAATTTCTCGTTATCTTTCTATTTGAACTCGAGCCTTGAAAAATGCGCAAGGACGCAAAATATCAAATACGAACAAAATGGTTAATTCCATCACAATAAAAATACAAATGATAAATAAAAAGCATTAAAACATTTTTAATATAATGGATTAAAAAAAAGGGGTCAATTACTAAAAGAGAGGGACGGATGATGCATGGAGAAAAGAGGGTGATTGTTGAATGGGCCCCACTTGATGAACTCTAGCTCGACTGTTTAATGAGTAGTAGATTCAAAATCATGGTGTTTAGTTTTTATAATAAAAAATTTTACGGTATGGTATATGTAGCAGGTACAAAAAAAGAAAAAAAATGAAGTAATTAAATCTGTTTAATTACTGCCTCACTGTGGCGTACACGGTCCCCGTGACGGGGATGTCCGATTCCACCACCACTCGATTCCTGGTTACATTCCTCAGCGCGTGCCTCGGAAACTCAGTCCCGATAGAGGTGAGCGTGTAGTGTGCGTGGGTAATCCGGCGCGGGAAGAGCAGAACCTGATTGAAATCCACCACCCACGACGTCTTCCCTCTCCCCTTTGTCGACCCAAGCGCCACTGTTGCCTTGAGACCCATCCCGCCGCCGACCTCGTTCCCGTCCACCAGCACGTTGTCGATGTCCTCGAACTTCCCGTCCAGCACCACCATCTTCCCCCTCAGCCCGCTGAACATGTTGTTCACCACCGTCACCCACTTCGCCACGCCGATTTTCGACTTGAACACGATGAAGGCCTCGAGGAAGAAGCTGTTGGCGACCGTGAGCTGCACCGGGTCCTCGGCCACGATTCCGGTGAAGTCGAGGTAGGAGTTTACGATGTGCGTTTGGGCCCGGCCGCTGAGGTTCAGGTAGATACCAACCCCGCCGTACCTGCAGTGGCAGAGCCACGTTATTTGTAGTAAATTTCGTAACAAATTTGAAAAATAGAGTAGGTGGCAAGATTTTAGTCGGCCTCCCTAATTCATAGTTTTTAAATGTAAATTTAATTTTATTGTTGCTGCGTACTTGTGGCCCTTGTTGTAGCAGTGGACCCCACTGAGGAAGTTGGCCTGGCGGGTGACGTTGATCCCGACAGCGGCGGAGAAGATGACGACGTTGGTGATGGCGTTGTCGCCGCTGTTGAGGGCGATGCCCGTGCCGGAGAAGTGGCGCTCGTGGGCGTCAGAGCCGTTGGTGATGTGCTGGCCGATGAATGTGTTGCGGACGAGGTTGTCGAGGCCGCCGTTGATGGAGATCCCGTCGGTGGATAAATGGGTGATGTAACAGTTGTCGATGGAGATCCGGGCGGAGTCTCTGATGAAGACACCGCCGCCTCGGAAGTTGGAGTCGAGCATTAGGTCCCTCAGTGTTATGTACTCGTAGTCGTACTTCTTCGCCGTCGACGACCACCTAGAAGAAGTCGATAGGTTGATTAAGTATCCGTCGGTCGGGAAATCGTCGGATGCGCGAAGGGAGCCTCCCAAAATCTGTTCGCGTACGTATCAAACCAATGTAACAAAAAAAATAAATCAATGTTGTCTTGTCTGTCACTAACCTGGCTGTTGGATCTTGGTCCAACCAATACGCAATTAATGTAAGTTTTAAATTAGAAATTGTATAACACCTGATCACAATAATACAAATAATAAGAAGCACTACTAGAGTTTTTTCCTTTGTGAACTCAAGTCGATCATGTTATACACCTGTTCCATAATTTATCATTTTGATCATACCATGTTTGTGTAAAGACCCATTATATTCTTAGATCTTCGAGTTTAATATGATGAAAAAAGAAATGAATACATTTTCATGAAAATTATTTTGGAATTACGTGTTGTGGATTTTTGATTAATAATGACTAGTAATTTTATATATTCATTGAGTAAGTCTTTCAAATACGATAAACCTCAATCACCTACATACGGATTTTCGACAAACCTAGCTATAAAAGCATGTTTAATCGAGCAGGCAGGCGATAAACACCAAATTAAGAGATAATAATACATAAATAACAATTTAAAAAATTAAAACTCAAAACCTCCTAAATCCAATCCAAATGTACACCTTTAATTACCATCTCCATCACCCTTGGTTGTACTGTACACTCATTTATTTAATTTATAAAGTCAGTCAGTCCATAGAAAGAAAAGAATATATGAGTGATGTAGTCATCAATGAATGAATTAATAATCGAACATCCATGGTATGGTTGTGAAATGCTGATAGATGAGTTACCACGACGTTGCCGACGCCGCCAACAGGAAAGCGGAGGGGCCGGCTGATGAGGTAGATGCCGCCGGCGAGATTGATTTGGGCGCCGCCAAAATTCTTGATCATGCCATGGAGCATGGTGCCAGAGGTGGGGCCTCTCAGTACATCAGCAAATACCTTCAATAATGCCTCCGTGCTGTCTTCCGTCCCCGTCGGATCGGCGCCATACGCGGTGACTTCATAAACACGCGAAACAGCTCTGCCGTGGTGGCGGTGCACCGTCTACATGCCATCGTTAATGGCGGTGAGCAAGGATCTACTTAACTTACTTACTTGTAAAGATCAATTATTTACAACAAAATAATTATTTATTTAGGTACCTGTCGCGGCGGCGATGAAGGGATGGAGACAAGGGAAGGACGGCGGGAGGCGATGAACGACTTGAGCGCCGCCTGCATAGGTTGGTGTTGGTGGTAGCTAATTTCGTCGGCGTTGATGGGTACTGTTAGTGTAGAAACCAAGAAGAAGGCGGTGCCGGTGATGGAAAGAAACAGAGCCAGATCTGTGTTCATCATTAATCTCATATATGATTCTGAACTGGCTTTTTGGCTGTTCTTTTTTGTTTTTCTATGTCGTCGATCGTGTGGGTTTTGGTTTTATGGGGATCTCTGTAATAAAGTGATTCTTAACTCTATCCTCTCCTCTCCTCTCCTCTTGCTGTTACTGATGATGAACCAGAGGTTACTAATGGTCGGATTTGAATGTAATTAATGACCCACCCAAAGTTCAAGTTAGAGAAAAGAGGTTAGTTGTAAGTATCTATATGGGGACTAATGGTTGGATATTACTGCAACAATAAACGAATAACAGAATTGGACTTTCCCCAATCTTCTTCCTTCCTCCTCTGCTCTTGCTTCTATTCTTCCTCTTCTTCTCAATATCTCTATCTCTTCCCCTAATTTCCCTCACAATTCCACTATTTCATTCAACTAATTCGCCACGAAAGATCTAGTATCGTCATGTTAAACGCCCCAACAAAAAGTATCATCGTACGTACCACGACTCTACGCCAGTTGCATGCAATGATTATATATTGGACTAACTCTACGAGCACGGCTGGTAATTTTATCTTTGCTTTCGATCATTCCTTCAGGCTCCAACACATCTAGTTTGATGAAACCCTAAAGGCGGACGCTTTCTCATTCATCTTCTATCCTTTATAGACATATCAAAGTAACAAGACAAAATCAGCTCCTTACAGTTTTGTAACATGTGGAACATTTTCTCGATCAAGATATTATCCACAATTTTTACCTTGGACTGCATATATATCAATGTGACTTCTCATAAGATCACCCATCCTTGCAGTACTCCACACTAAACACGTTTTACTGAGAACTATTTCATTTCGCCTCAAAATCATCATGGCCCCATTCGAGCCTCATGCAACACAATTGTCAAGAAACAACTTTTTCAAACAATCATTCTAAACTATTCCATGTGCCCATATCAACACATTGTCACATCTCATCCATCATAGGAGCAAGCCATACACCATCACATGAACCATCCAGTAAGAAACTTGAAACATGGAGAAATAAAGAAGAATATTGTAGTTTTGTATTTGTACTTGTTCCGAAGAAAATTTCGAGAAAAACAAAATTATTTAGAGAGGAATTGTAACATCCTCATTCCTTTTATATGTGACATACCCATACATGTATTGTCGAAATCATGCATTACCAATTGTGAAGCGTTTGTTTGAGTTGAAGAAAACCTATATATCTCTTCGACGACATGCATCACGCTACATCTTCTGGAATGTGCATGAGATATGAGGAGCACGACACGAGGTGGTGCCCATGCCCATGAAGGTGCCTCCACACCCAGCTTATATATATATATACACTTCAACTTCAGAAGATGATGTGATCAGTTTGTTGTAAAAACTCAAATTCATGAGTGCAAAGTCCCAATCCCACACAACTCAAACTGAATGAGCTTGGATATTTTATTTTCATACCAGTTCATTTAACTTAATTTTTGGTTCATATTTACTTGCTCAATTGTGTCGACTCATGTGCAAATCTCTAATTCTCGCAACCTTATCAAATCCCTCACTTTATCATCATGGTAAAACATTGTACCGTTATGATAAGAAATTATACCAATATGATGACACAATATGCCACCAAATATTGGATTTTAAATGTATGTAGTAAGATTTATGCATTTTAAATCTTCAATTTAAATGCATGCATTTAAAATTAGCACTTCTACTATGCTATAAAGCATTGTTGGTTTAATGTACAACTTGAAATTGTATCATAACGTTAAATGTATAAATTTAGGTTGTACCATAAAAAAAATTGTACCATCATATAAAAGTACAAATTGAAGTTGCATCATAAAAGAATTAGTACAAAAGAGTATAGATATAATCTGAAGTTTTACCGTAACGTTAAATATACAACTTCAAGTTGTACTATAAAGATAAAAACCTATATCACCAAATTAAATTAAAATACCCATATAACCAATATTTTTTTTATTCGTTTCACATATATCTCCTGTCATAATTTTCCAACAGAAGAACAAAGGGAAGATTGTAATGAATTATGAGTTTGTAACTCATGTTTCTTATGCGAGGGGAAGAAAAGAAAAGAAAAGAAACGCCCATGAGTTTCTTCTCTAGAACAAGCTCTGCCGTTTCCTTCAAATGCACAAAGAGGTTCTAATTCCCCACAAAATCTCTCCCTGTCGTTATATCTTTGATCTACCATGGAACTCGTAACATGCAAGCTGAATAATGAAAAATAGTGACAGAAGAACTCCTCTGCCTCGCAATCCGTGGGTGGTTTTCCTTTGGCTGGGGAAAAACTCCCTTGCTATTGGGTAAATCAGACTCTGACCCTTCATTCTAGCTTTGAGAAAGAAGAATTTCCCAATAGCACCAATGGAGCATCATCGTCACCAATCTTCTACAATAGCATGCTGCTGCTTCATTTTGCTACTGGGATTGCTTCAACATGCCTCTTGTTACGCCACCGAGAACCGAACCAACAAGCTCCCAGAGTTCCAATCGGAACTTCAACGAAGATCATCTTCCTCAGCTGCCGCCGCCTACAATCCGGCCAACAAATCTTCGATATCCATGATGCATCCTAAACGGGTCAGCAAGTTGTTCTTATAGCTTAGCTCCCCTGTTTTCTTCTCTTCGTTTCTGCTTTGCAATTTTTGACAACTTCAATTTTCGATTGGCAGAGAGGGAAAGTGTTCTACCCGATCGGATACGGAGCCGACCCGAGCGGATCACGAGACAGTGCAGATCCCATTCTCAGAGCCATCAACGATGCGTTTCAGTTGCAGAACGGCCACCGCCGTCAATTGCTCCCCGGGATACACGATTTGGGAGGAATCGTCATCGATCTCCAAGGCGGAAACTTTCTCATCAGCAAACCCATCCGGTTCCCTCCCGGCACCGGCAACATTGTGGTTAGCGATTCAATTGAAGATCCACAGGCCTATCAAAGATCCACCATCGCGAAAACTTTTAAACTAAACATGCTCTGTTATTTATTTTTTTATTTTTTTATTTTTTTTTTTTGCAGGTACAGAGTGGGAGCCTGAGGGCGTCCGATGACTTTCCGGCGAACCGTCACCTGATCGAGCTATGGTCCCTTTCGCCACGTGTCACCGACAAGGCATCCTATTACGAGGGAATTACATTCAGAGACATCATCTTCGATTCCAGCTACAGGGGAGGAGGGATTCGGGTCGTGGACTCCGTCAGGATCCGAATCGACCACTGCTTCTTCCTCCACTTCACCACCCACGGCGTTCTGATCATCAAAGGCCACGAGACCCTCATCTCCAGCTGCTTCCTGGGCCAGCAGCCCACGGTCGGCGAGGATCAAATGGAGAAGCACTACTCCGGCACCGCCATCGACATCGACAGCAACGACAATGTCATCACCGACGTCGTGATCTTCTCCGCCGCCGTGGGGATCGTGCTGAGGAGCGAAGCCAACACCGTGACCGGAGTCCACTGCTACAACAAGGCTGACGTCTACGGCGGGGTCGGGATTCTAGTCAAGCCAGAGGCGTCGCTGACTAGGATCGGAAACTGTTACATGGATTTCACCGGCGTGGTGATCGAGGACCCGAGTCAGGTCCGGGTCACCGACGGGTTGTTCATCGGCGGGGCGAATGTGGTTCTCCGGTCGATCAAGGGTTCGATTTCGGGGCTGAACATTGAGGGGAACATGTTTCGAGGTTACGAAGGGGTGGGGAACTCGATTGTGGAATTGGATGGGAATTTCACCGCCGTGGATCAGGTGGTGATCGAGAGGAACAACGTGAAGGATATGGTTTTGAAATCGACCGCCGGGAGGGTGACGGTGGCCGGGCACGGGTCGAGGTGGGTTGCGGATTTCTCGCGGGTTTTGATTTTCCCGAACAGGGTATCTCACTTTCAGTATGCGTTTCACATCCGAGGGGCGGCGGAAGGTGGCGGTGGCGCCGGAAATAATGTGACGCATTGGGTGAGCGGAGTGCGGCGGAATGCGGTAGTCGTGGAGAGCAGTGCAAAGGTGAACGCGGTGGTGTCGGTGGTGGTTGATCAGTATAACGCGGTGGATGAAACGAGTTACTTGTTATCTGAATCTTGAGTAGGACATTGGAGGGCGATGGTCCTAATTGTACTTTTTTATAGAGGACGAAGCAATCTTTTTTTCGTTTATTCTAGGGGCTTGTTTGCTTGATGGACTTGGTGAAGGATTTGAATCCATCATGGATTTTGTCTAAAATTCATTGTTTGCTTCATGCATTTAGGGGAAACAAATATATCGGTCCCACGAACTTTAAGGTACCAAATCCATGGACCCCACGGACTTGAAAGTTCCACCTATTTAGGTGGGAATGGATTGTGGACTATGAAGTCCATCATTTTTTACCAACATACCCTTCATATTTGCTTTCTCTTCTTATATCACTGAGAGCAATAAAGGTAAATTACACTTCATACATACAAATTTTATTAACAAAATCCATCATGAAATCCATCAAACAAACAATGGTATTTATCAAATCCATAATGAACCTAAAACCTTCATATATCCATGGTTTTTCAAAACCCAAGTTATACCAAAACCTTCATTTTTCAAATCCACGACACAAACGAGCCCTAAAGGATTTCTTCTCAATTCTTACCAAAATACTATTTTTGGAGTGAGGAGGCAAAAATCATGCCACCCAATCCCATCAAACTTTTTACAGATTTTACCCACATTTGCTTCATACCCAGTCAATGCGAGGATTCCCAGTGTTGACTGGATTGGGGGTGGTCGCGGGTATGATTGTCATCCTTATAGACACCACATTTTGTTCAGATCAAAACCTGTTGCTAGCTTCGGAATAGTAAAGTTGTCTCTCACCAGTCTAAGAAGGGTTCATGTTAAACAAGAGTGTGATCTTTCATTAAAGTTTAGTACGAGACGAAGCATTCAAGTTCCATGTTAAGGTTTGATGCACAATTCGAAATCCATGTCAAGGTTTGATGCACAAGGGATTTGAATACATAAGGAAAGTACAATATCGTATTATTGAGGAGGAATTTAAAAGCAAACATCATTACAAAAGTTAGTACACTCCTAAACATCAACCAAGTTTACAAATCCAAGAAGCAAGGGCCCGATAGACATGGAGAGCCCACACCAGCAAGCTTCAAAACAAAGAAGAGAGTAAGCTAACACAAACCCAAATTTCAAAAACAGTTTCAGCCCATGACCTG